TTTCCTTAAAAGGGATCAATTTGGAGATCAAAGATTTGAGTTTCACTTTAAAATAAGGGCAATTTGAAATTCCAAAATCTAATTTCCTTCAAAAACTGAGCTTCAAAGTGAAGTATTTAGTGCCGAAAAATTTAATTACCAAATTGGCCAATTAAACAATGTTAAGAGGGCAAGACTCTAGTATAAGAAAATTGCCAGTTTCAAGTTTCATTAAGAGACCCCTTGAAATTCAGCTCCGGGGCGGCTGTCGTCTTGTGTGTGTGTGTGTCGAATTTCCAGAACGCGCAGATGCGAAAGCTCCACCGGGGTAATGCGATATTATGCATGCAGCATAACAGCGGCGCCTACTTTATTGTCCACAAGCTCTGGTCCTGTTTTATTATGAAGACGAAGCAGCGGCGGCGGCGGCGCCACAATAAAAACACACATTCGTCCGACACCATTAAACGTCTCATTTTTACATAAAGTGGCGGAGCAAGCGGAATAATTCCGAGTTTAGTCTGTTTGTGAGTGCTGTATCTGGGTCCGCATGAATAACGACCGGCTGCGGATCATATTTTACATAAATGTAGGACGAAATTTGCACAAACTATAAACCAGCGCTCTGCAAATTTCCGTCTCGGCACTTAGAAAAAAAAAGACAAACGCACACCTAAACGCCACTTGATTTATTTTTGATTTGCACAATCGGGGTTAAGCGCTTGGACTGCGTTCAAATTTATTTAACCCCATCTCTCCCTTGCACTTGCAGAATCTTAAAGCGTGCCAGCTCCTCATTTTCTGCACGCTCGAGTCTGTGAAATTTATATGCAATGCTAGAGATTCCTTCCGACGAGAGATATAAAAATGCGTTTTTTTTTTATGTATGCATGAAAAAAAAAAGTGGAGAGGATTTCGTTTTGTGAGCTGCAAAAGCACGCAAAGTGAGACTTGTTGAAAAACGTGCCCGTTTTATTCCTTCGTGTGAGTCATAAAAGTTTTAAGTGAATTTGTCGTCGTTTGTGAGAAAATTACACCGTAACTTGAGGAAAGAGAATCACGTGGTTTTGAGTAAAAGAGTGGCAGAATTATGGAGAGATCAAACTCATTCTTCAATTGGAAATTTGAAAACAACATTAAATAAAAATTAAATAAGATAATAAAAATAAAGAATTAATAAATTGTAGTTCCAAATTTCACCGCATTTGGTGCCAAATTTATTTTATGAGGGTTTTAATTTAATATTTTAAACTATTTTTATTTTATTAAGAGTTAAATTATTTTTGCATAATTAATTTTTGTGTTTTTTAATGAGCTCTAGTTTAAGCCAATTTGAATTTAAGTATTTGCCGGGAGTATGAATTTTGCATGCTTGTTGACGCGCATTTTAGTCCATTAATTATAATCAAGCCGGAGACCAATTAATTAACAATGGCGTTGGTTTTCGCTCAAACGTGCACTAAATCAAAGGAGCAAATCAGTGGAATAAGCCCAAACGCGGCTCGTTAATTTGATAATGCCGCCCTGTTGCTGCGGATATAACGCCGAGCAACAATTTCGGCGCCACTCGCTGCATTAATAATTGAAACAAAAAGCCATGCCACGTATATATATTTGTTGGTCGATTTGCTTGTCGATTATTCATCAGATGATTAATGAAGGCCGTCAGGGCGGATAGATAGATCGGCAGCCCAGCACACACGCAGACCGCGGCGGTTCACTCTCGGTGACTGAGTGAGTGCGTCATGTCGTGCGGATTCGGCAGTGAATGTAATCGAAGCGTGTTACGCAAACAAACGACAATCGCGACTCGCAATTGATGGATCTCTTCTTCCATTTGTGATATTGGACTGAGATAGGATTCGGTTTCAATAGCAAATTTTATTTAATCTTCAAAGGAATCCAAACATTCAGAACTTTCTTTGATTTTTGTTTATTATTTTTAAATTAAATTATTTAAGGAGGGGCTTTTCTTTAAGTCAAATCAGCCTCATTGCTCTACTCTTGAGTCAAATCTGTTCCTAAACAGGATTTCTTTGAGTTCTTTTCTCCTCGTTAAAATTTCCTTTACATTTATTTACGGAGATTTTGCAAATTTAGAGCAAAAATTAGTTTCCCCCTCTTTAACGTTTTTAGTTTGGCATCAATTAATGTAAAAAGCAATCACAATTTAAAAATTTACCTTAAGTGAGAAGTTCGGGGAAACCATTTAATTATTTAAATTAATAAAAAGCACCAAAATATCCTGCTTGTCTGCCAAATTTTAACAAAATTAAACAATTTATGTCAATAATGGAAAACGCTGCGTTGCCAAAAACTTTAGGGAAAAAACACGGTGAATCCGCAAACACCGGCAATTAATTCGTAAATAATTCATCAGTCCTCTTAGTCGACGTTGTTTACCCGTGTGGAGCTTTTTGTTGGCAATCTGCTGAAAAGCGACCGCGCCACTGGCCGAGGCAGCAGCTGAAATTATGCCGCCGCCGCGCCGTGGTGGTTTATGTGGTATCGCCGGCCGTATAATTTAATATGCAAACAACATCAAGTCGATGCTGAAATATTTATCACTGCTGCAAGCCCGGGATGAAACGGCGCGCTGATGAGAGAGAGGTATATGTTCTCCGCCGTCCCTTCGTCCGACCCAATGGGGTCAATTACGTCGGCGAACAAATTAAAAGCGACTGATGGCATTGCACACATATTTGTTATTAGCTGCAGCCGATTGAGTTTGCCAGTGAAATTGGAAATCTATATTTCAATCAATCGGTTGTATTTTGCCACATCGAAGGTCTCGTTTTAACTACAACCAAGTAAGTAAGATAAAAACTAATAGGATTTCCCAATTTTATATCAGATTTAAAATTCCAAAAAAAAACAATGCTGAAAATAGGAACTTCAATTAATTAAAAGGATTCAAGAAAATTTGAAACTTTTGTATCCAAAAGTTATAGTCATTTGTGCATTTTCAGAGAAATAAGAAGTCTGGTTGTCTTTTGAGTCATCTTTGATCATTATTGATAATAATGTATTTAAAAAAAAAAACCTAGACAGCTTTGTATTCATCTGGGAATTGATTGATATGATTCAAAAAGTCAAGTAGAAACCACGGTTTATTTTACTTTATTCATTTTTGAATGCTAATGATGTTTAAACTGCAGAAAAATTTCCTATCAAAATGTCACGAGGAAAATATTGAGCGCACCTTATTATCTTGCATAAAAAACTCATTTTCCTCATAAATTACAAATTGATAAGCTCATTTTAATGGTCGTTCTTACAAAATTTACAACGATTGCTGGATCTCATAAATTTTTAAAATTTCCCTAATCAAAAAGTTAATGAAATTTCCACCCTTCTTTCTCAAACAAGGGTCTTCCTCTCGCAGAGAAATATCATAAATTTATATATACGCACTTTGCCAAATTGTAAAATTTCTGAAACATCATCTTTGCATAACGAGATGAAAGGAGAGGCGCGCACTCACCCCCGGGCGATGCATCCCATTAACAAGGAATAAAAATAAATCATGGGAAAACAAGGGGGGAAGCAGACAAATTGATTCGCTCGTTTCTTTAAAAAAATTCCGCCAACGATGATCAGCAGAAAGATCCCTCATGTTTGCTCTTTTTTTATATATTCAAGAGGAAGGAAACAAACAAAGCAATATAATCAGATTAAATTCGCGACGGTACTGAACAAAACACACACAACCCCCTATGGAATTCGCGTCGTCAGCGATTGCATACACTAAAATAATAACACGACGAAGAAGATTCTCATGGAAATTAATTATTTCGAGTTAAAAATTCCCTCGCGTTGCTGTGGGACGATTGTTTTGCGCAATGAATGGGAAGTGTAATTATGCACCAGAGCTAATTAGTCGGAATTGCTCTCTCGGCATAGCAATATTCATTTCCAGCGGCGTCAGCCTAATTTTTCTAGTGTGTGCATATAATAATAAAAGTTAATGGTGTGCAACATTAATATGAAATAACAATTCGAGCCGCTGCTGTTTCAATGAAAGCAGATTTTAATGGTGCGTGAAATTTCGGTGCGGTCTCTGTATTTTAATTCAATTTCCGAATTAGAGAAGAGAGGAAGGTGGTGCGTGTATGAAATTTATATATATGTGGGCTGGGACGTAATTTGATAATAATCCAGGCACGCCTACGCTAGATTTCGCACACACATATTCAGCAGATGCGTGAGAAACGGCGTCGCCAGAGCCGTGCGAGGAATGCAATTCCAAACAGACCCGTTCTCCGCGCGCATGCTGGAAATCAAATTAGGGCTGTTGAATTTCAGCTTTGGGACTTGTAATTATGGAATAAGCAAGAAAGCTCTTCCTTACAAGTGGAAACTTATTCAATCTGCAATTTAAGCCGAATATGCATAAATTTATTTAATTTGTAGCAACTAAAACCAATGAAATATAAAAACGTAAAATGTTTGTATCGATTTTAAGAAGTAAAAAACTAAAATATTAATAAAAATAATTATATGAATTAATTAAGTCTATTTTACTCTCTTTTTTACTTTTTTTTTAAACATTTGTATGTAAATATGTGGACAAAAATATATGCAATAATTATACAAAATTCTCCAATTCAATATGATGCATCAAATTATTAATTTTTTTTGCATATTATGCAAACTCTTAGCAGTCCTTGAAATTAAAAAAAAAACTTAAATCAGTAAATAGCTCAAAATGGTGAACAAAAGAGTCAAAGTTAATTAATTCTAGATTTAAAATCTCATGTATATTTTCGAAAACTGTAGCAGCTCATTTCATGGATATGATTAAAATTACAGTAAGGTGTGAAATTAATAGACAAAATTAAAGAAAAAAAATATATTAGCTAAATAATTTTTTATTAAAACAACAAAATTACTCAACTTTAACGTTATAACTAAAACTTAACTTGCTAGAAATAAATTAATTGAATTCTATCTCAGCCAGAGCCATTTAAAATATTGAAAATAAAATTGGTTAAATTTTTTGTACCAAGAATTAAGCAGGATTTCATTAAAAAATTTGTTTATTAATTTATATCACTTTTCAAATTATATCATCAATCTTTGTTGTCGATTCGGCTGATTTCTTTCCAATTTTCACCCGAGAGCAAACGGAGCCTCGCTGGCAGTCTCGAGGAAGAAGTTGCCGGTCAAGCTGCGAACAGACACGAAAAGCCAATATAATAAAAACGGACAAGACCACACGCACGGCAAACGGCTTTCACCGAATTCGCACCTGAAATCAAACAAGTAGCCCATAAAAGTGAACGGATTATCGACACAGGCGCCCGTCAAGTAGAGCTCCCAACTCTCGCACTGCACGGCTCGGAAATTATTCAGCGGGATCGACTCGATGTAGAAAGATTCCGCCCGGCTGTGGCTGCAATTTCCTTTTTCAAAATATAATTAATTATTTAAGTTTTCGGCGGTGCATCGCTTTTACCGGTTATGTCAGGGCTGCATCCGGGCTGCACGGGCACGCCCCCGTTGGGGAAGAAATCGATGTGGCCGAGGGGTTTCTCGAACCCGAGGACTCCACCGCAGGTGTGCATGATGTCGACCAGGGCGGCGTCCTCGATGGACAGTCGGTTCTCCGGACGGTCGATATCAAACAGAGGCAGTGCGGGATCCATACCGGAAATGCGGCCAATTAAATTCTAGAAAAATATTAATTATTTATAAATTTAATCAAGATTTATCAAATTCCAGCTGAAAATCGGTTTGAGTGATTTTGATGGAAATTTGTAAGTAAAAGCAGCACATGATATAGCTTTGATTAACCTCCAAAATTTGAATTTATCGAAATTAATATTGCCTTGTTTAATTGAAATTTATAAAACAATTTCCATCTCATAACCTGTCGGACGAAAATTAATGAAATTTCAATCAAACTGACTTTATAGTGTGAAAAGATGATTTTGTAAAAACGTGGGCTGTAAATTTTACTTTGAAAATCTGGAAATCTCGTTTAAAGAAATTTAATGGACCAAATTTTTCTAAATTGAAGTTATCGTTCAAAATAGTTTTAGAAGTTGTAAGAATTTCAATCCCTATAAAAAGAAAGATTAATCCGATCTGAGGAAAGGGGTTTAATTTTTGTTTTTATTGATTCGATCGTCCCCGGATTCAATTGTCGCCTGCAGACGATTCTCCCCAATTCCGTTTCTGGGCACGCAAGCATCATGTGGGCAAATTAACTCGGAAATTCGGGCTGTCGTCGGACGGGAGACAATTGTGTGTATTGGATTAAAGCCGAGAGCGAAAACAATCGGCGCGAATCAGCTTTGAAATGGACGAGCGGACGAGTGTCTATTGTTTGGACTCGATCAATTGCTCAATTTGATTTACAAACACCGCCGGCCCACTCTCGCCGCTGACAAACGCGTCCAGTGAAAGGGTTGCTTGATGAAAACCTCCGCCCAAAAGCGGGAAATAAAGGGGAAACCTCCAACCCAGTAAAAATTTTAATTATAAAGAAAATGATAATAATTGACAGCGATAGACAAAGATTATTTAAAAGTAATTTAAATTTGAAATTATTTGTTGATTTTAGTAAAAGATATTTTTTTTTATAAATCGATTGATTTTATTTATTAAAATGTTTTAAATATTTTCTTAAGCATTTCCTATTTGATCAATTTAAAATTTTTAACCCATTTCTTCTTATGTTATTCAAATTTGACGTGGTTAATTTTAAGAATAAATAATAACAATAATTTTATAAAAGGCTCGGGCAGAATTAATTGACAAATCTTGGTCTTGGGCCCAATCCTTCAAATTTTCGTTTGATTTCTTCTAATGCATTAAAAATTATGAAAATAACGGAGCCGTTTTTGAATGAATAAATAAAATTTTGCACCCCTTTCGGTGCCCCCTTCGGACCCTACACTCGTCCCTGGGCTGAACATTCGGCATTGGCCTCACGTATGAACTTGAAACCACTCGAAACTCACTAGGGTCTCGTTAAGAACAGCTTTGCCGCTGAATCCGCACACGTGGCATCCCAAGCTCTTGCCGACGCAGTGCATCGAGTCGAAGCTCAAACCCAGGCCCTCCAAAAAGAAGTACATCTCGGCCAGGTACTCGCCGGTGGGTCGAGCGTTCGCCCGGGCGGCCACGTAGTCCGGGGCGGCGGCCAATCCGGCCCAGTCCACGGTGATCACGTTGCAATCCTCCAAGGCGAGAAAGGCTGGATAAATTATTTTATTTATAGAAAACATGTAAATGAAAATTAAATTGATTTCAAAATTAACCATATTACGCGACTAATTGTAAGTTTAAAATTTAACCCTTTTTTATGTATTATTTCAGATTTTCATTTTAATAATTCAATGATAAGAAATTTTGAAAAATGAAACAGAAATGTTTGAGATAAAAATTAAAAAAAAAAATCAAAAAGATTAAAAAGATAAAATTTAGGTTTTGTTTGAATTAAATTTAATTTTGCGAATATTAGCGTTTTAATTTTAACTTCTTTTTTTTAGTAATTTTCATACCGTCTTTCATGTCAAGCGGCCACGAATTAAAGGCTTGCGCCGCAAAGCCGTGGACCAAAAATTTGGTCGATTTTGCAGGGTCGAAGTTGGCACCGTTTAGGTCTCCAACGTAAATTTGATTAGCCACCGAGGGGTTGAACCTAGAAAATCACAAATTTTAAACTCGTCCATGAACGTATTAATTTTTAAATACTTGCCTGGTAAACAAATAGAAGGTGATTTGCGAGTACGGATCGGTGACATTGTGCACTTCCGGTTGCTCTTCCGGATGTGGCGATTCCGACGCTCGAGCTGTCAACCAACGATTGTTTGTTTGTTATTTTCCAATACAACTGTGAGCACGCGATCAATTATTCTCTGGGACAACTTCATATGCATTTTGACGACGTGAATTGAAAACAAACACATTGTGGTGATTGCCGCGCGTCGGACCGTCAACAATCAGTATGCAGATTGTCCCTTCTCGCGATTGATTTTCGTGCAGCATATGGCGGCGGAATGTGTTTGTGAACAAACATAATATTCTGCATCCTGCGCTCTGTGTGCACCGACACGTACCAAACAACAATGAATGGTCGTTTTGCGATTTGGAAAAAAATCAAACGAACGGGTTAGATGCGATGTCAAGAGAGTAGGAGTTGAAATTCAATTATTATATTTTTCCTTTAAATAATTTTATATTTCTGTGCTTTAATCTTTATAAAATTATATCTTGATGCGGGAGAGAAAAAATAGAAAAAAATCTAACTCTATCAAAAACTTTGAAGTGTCTGATTGAGTTTGAAAGCCTGCAGAAGATTGCAGTCATATAAATAACTTTTCTTGATAAATGATGAAATTATGTTTCGTGGTTAAATCATTTGTTTTCTTTTGGTAAAAATTTACACATGCCTAAAAATTATTTTCTAAAAACACGAATCTGAATCAATATTTGTTACTTATAAACAGGATTTAGAATTTCCTGAAATATACATAGTACTATAATTCCTCCTCTATATTTATAGATCCAGAATCTATTTATTTAAATTTCATCAAATTGATAACTCTAAAAAAAAACCTAGGACAGAAAAGCAATAAATTTTTTAATTTTAAAACTTGTACAAACAGTCAATATAAATTGTAAAAATAATTTAAATAATGATTTTATTTGATTAAAAGTTAAACACGAGTATCAGTTAACAAAAAATATAGAATTTAACTTTAAAAAATTTTAATTTTAAAAAGTTTTGGTAATAAAATTAAAAAACAGTTTTTTTCTCTTAAGTTCAATCCTTTTCTTTTATAAGAAAATCACATTTAACTTAGAAATCTTCCAAAAAATTCAATTTTAAACGCATAAATATCAATTTGTGCTGGCGAATGGACTTGTGTGGGAAAACCGGAAGGAGGCCAATCAATGCCCAAGAGGGCGTGCAAAATGAATGAGTCGGCGGCTATGTCTCGAGTTTATCTATGAATGTGTACCTCTGGAAAAGAGCACCAGTAGCAGACACACCGCAAACGATTGGAACGCTGCCATTTGCTAGGTCCGTGGAGGATCGTTCCGAGCGACTAGTTCGAAACTAATGCTCCTCTCTCTCTTCATCAATGGTCAGTGCGTGTGCACCGTGCAGATAATCAATGGCGATTAGATTAGATAGGGTGGCCGACCGGTACTCGCTATTTGTGTATGCATAAATTAATAGGATAAGGTACAGATGGGGAGGCCAAATATTTAGCTCGGGCGCCGTTGTAAATAGACACTGCAGCCGAACTGCAAATATTGGGATGAAAAGCAATTATTGGAGTTTGATTACGTGCCAATTCCAGATTTATATCTGCCGGTATTACCTGCTTTAAATATCAATCAGAATTATTTGATAGAGTGAAATAATATTAATTTAAATTAATAAAGAAAAAATGTATAATTTTAAAGACCCACTCCAGCCATATGTGTTTATCTTTATTCTGAAGGATTGCTAAATTTCGAGTAGATCTTTTGAAAACACTATATGAAGACCAAACCGTTGCGTCACAATCAAAATAAAACCTAATACGAGTAATTCGTGCAAAAAACGTGAGAATTGATTTGCAGGGGTATTTCCGTCAATTTGTTCCAAAAACTGCAGGATTCAGTCACTTATAGCGCTGCGATCGCTGATTTTGCCAAGTTTTCAGCAAAATCAGCGATTGCAGCGCCACAAGTGACAAAAACCTGCAGTTTTTGGACCAAACTGACGGAAATATCACTTGAATTGTTTTTTTTTTTTTTGTTTTTTTTTATTGTGACGCAACGGTTTGGAATTTTCACATAGTATTTTCACAAGATATGCTCAAAATTTAGCAATCTTTCATAATAAAGAGCAATACAAATGACCGGAGTGGGTCTTTAAATAAAGATTTTATTAGGAGTTTTCTGTTCATTTTATTTTTGAAATTTCTAGTTTTTGAAAAGCCCAAATTATGTAACCCTTCATTGCCCAGAAGCAAATCCGCTCTCCCAGCAAATCCCGTAATGGAATCCAATCCCATTCTAAATTGCTAATTTCTGTGTTACAGACCACGGGCAACATATTGAATTTCTGCGAGGTGGGATTGAAAATCTCAGGCAAGACGCCAATCATCAATCGAGCTGTGATTCAATTCCCCGACACGTCGCTCACTTCGGTCACCATAGCAACGACGGAGCGGCACACGGTTGCATTCCTCGGCACCAAGGACGGCCGTCTCAAAAAGGTGAGTTTCCAATCAAAATAATTAATTAACCAAAAATGTATACACACAACTCTGGACTAACGGGATGCCTGATTTACATCATTAATCAAATTCGAATGATCTGGATTAATTGAATGTTGCCTATTTTGGAGGAAATTAATTAATTCGATTCGGAGCGAAACGCGGTGATCGATCCCTTTCATCCAAACCTTGAACACAACACTCTCCTCTGTACAAAACTTCAATTGAATTTCCTGCATACGGTTGAAAAAAGCTTTGACGTGCGACAATGGTATTAACGTTTTTATTTTTTGCTGAAATAATAATACAACAGAAGTAATCCAATCAGCGCTTTTTGTTGAAAACCTGCTTGATTGAAAATCTGCAAAGGGTTTCGCTGCTCAAACAAAAAGCAGCAAAGCAGAGGCTCAAGTTTAGTTTTTCCCACAGAGACGAGCCGGAGCGAAAAACAATTAATTAAACGTCCTCCGCTTTTGGATAAAAGCAACACAATGGGTGCCTCATTATCGTCATCAGAATCACGACCACGCCGAGAATGAAAATAAAAAAAATACACATCGCATTATATATTATATCCTAGAAAAAGAGGCATTTTCCGACTCGTGACGCTTGAATTATGTGCCGAGCGTTTTTCAACGCCCACGCCCCTTTGCGCTATTTCTTCGTCGTCGAGAATTAAGGAAAACGAGCGAGAATAAATATACAAGAGGAACGCACCGAGCATAATGAAATAATAATAATAGTACAACTTCATTGTTTGGCTAAAGGGCGGCGGTATGGATGGTGAGAGGCGCGCACGTGAGAAAAGGGTTGCCGCCGCCGCCGCGGATCGATTCGCTTTGCATTTTTACATTCGGCGAGAGCTGTTGAAGCGGCCCGGAAACTTTTGTAATACTTTTTTCTGGGGCAATGCGTATAACTCCTAAAGCGGGAGATGTATGTGTAATTGAAATTATGCAAAGCAGTCGCGGTCGTTTTCACATGAAAGAGAAAAGTAGTGGAAAAGAAATAAGAAAAGAGAGAGGAGAGATCCGGCAGCAAAAGGCACGCCATTTTGGGGAACAAGAATATTTTGTCCTAAATCTCATAAAAATGTAAAATAAATTTAAAAGAATAAAAGAAATTTTTATTATTTATTTTCTCATTTTAGTTTTTATATTAAATTTGTATATACAAATATAATATATATTAAAGTTTTTTGTTAATAAATCAAAATTTTCGCTTTATGGATTCATAATTTTATGTTTTTTTGAAGGATAAAATTAAATTTTTATTATTTATATTGAGGAGTTCAGAAGTAAATTTTTATACTAAATGAGAATTACTTGATTCACGTAGCTCACTTTCAGCTCTGATCACTTCGTGGAGTGGAATCGCAATTGGAATGATTGAAAGTCAATTTGGAGAATATTATTTAATAAATTTATTTCTAAATATAAAAATTAATTCTTATCTTTGATACTATGTATGCAAGAAAAATTAATTAAAATCTGAAACATTTCTGAATTAAAAATTTCTCAAAATGTGCAGTCAAATTAAAATTTAGAAATAAAAATTATTTGCTTTTTATATTTTTTATTTGCCAATATAATATATCATACTAAATTCCCTATAAAAACTAAATTCATAAATTATTTGGCAATATCAATTTTATTTGTTCTATTATAATATAATGTAAGGTCAATCTTCTTATATTTTGACGCATTCCTTATTGTTACGTAATTCAAATTCGCATACCAAGTTTGATAAGAGGTCTCCTCTCTTGCCTTACACAATTTCGCCCGCGATTTCTCTGTGTGGCGCATCCGATACTCTTGGTCGGGTCAAAGGCTCGCCCTTTGCGGTCGCTCACTCGCTCTCGGCCTGGAAGGAAACCCAACGCCGGCATCGTCTGCGGCTTTTGCTTGTGCCGGCGCTGCCGCCGCAGTTATGAAATGATACAGAGAGGAAAAAGGCTGAGCTTGATGAGAGGCCCATTGTTTCGGCCGGGCAGCTTCCGGTGATGCTTCCACCCAAAATTACCGAAAGACCCACTCTCGTAATAAGGGCACATTTATATATCATATAAAATTTCCAGGGTCCTCTCCGCCGCATGCCATCGAATTAACACAACAAAGGTGGAGAGCGACTGGCCATCCGCGAGTTCCATAAATAAAGAGTGAGCTCTCGTCGTGCTGTTTGATGTGCTACTACTTAATGCGCGAGCACGAACTCGTCGAATTCCATCGCGGCCGCTGGAAAAATATAAAAATAATATTTCCACCGAGAGAGAGAAAAGAGAGATGTATGGCTTTTTCGGATGGAGAGGGCACTCGAAGGGCACACGGGCCGCACAATGCGTTCATAAAATGCAAATAATCCGGCGTTGGCTCTCTGAGTATTTCCAGCTCTCTTTGAAATTTGATGAGTTTTCAGATAAAAAAACATAGTTGAATAAATCCTAAGCATTTCCGTCCCTGTGAAGCTTAAAAAGGATAATTTGGAAAAATCCCACGCAATAAAATAATAAAAAATGAGAGTAAAATATTATTATACCTTGGATTTGTTAAAAAAGAGGAATTCAAAATGAAAAGATAATTATAAAAATTGTTAAAACTGCAGACTGCAAATTTATAAAAAAGCATTCACTTTTTACAAATTATAAATAATTTATTAATTACCCTTAGTAATGAACAAATAGAAATCCCCGCCAATTCAACCACTTTAAATTAAAAAAAAATCAAAAAATAGCAAATCGGCAGAAATATATAAATTTGGAAAAAATTATTTATTCGTTTTCCAATAATTATAGAGCAACTTTTGAATTTCTGTTTATTTCTAATTTTATGCAATAAAAATAATAAAATTATAAAATAAAACAAGCTCCTAAATATTTTATTTTATGAACCATTTGGTAACAATTGCTAATATTTTCTGCTATTTCAAATTTCCAAAAAAATTCAAAGCCAGCCTACCACAAATTTTAATATTCCAATAATTATTATTTTTTTCCTCTGAACAATCAATTTTGAATTCAAAAAATCACCAATTAGAACTTTACATTAATTTCTTCTCAAAATAGCTAATCATTTGGAAACAATTTCCATTATTTTCATAATTTTGACTAACAAAAAATCCAAATCATTCAATCGGAACACCAATTTTATTAAAAAATCTTCTCTTTGGAACAAATTTAATAATTTTTTCCTCAATAGTTAGCCACGTGGAAACAATTGCAATTAATTTTCGCCACTTTTCGCAACACAGACAAAAGCCGCGCACTGGGTAATAAACTGCTGATGACTTTCATTCGGTCGGCCGGCGTTTGTGTGTGTTTCACTCTCTCGCTCCAACTCCCTTCAGCATTGTGCCGCCGCTCATAGAATTTTACCGGCACATTTACGTGAGCAAATATTAAATGCACACACAAACTCGAACAACGCACAATAAAATGTGTATGTGTGTTTTACACACGCGCGTCTGTGCCGGGCGCGTGCTGCGAATTCGAGGGCAGCCGAGAGGTGCAAACGAATGAAATGAAATTCGCCCACGCCGCGCCACACACACATCCTCGCCCTGCACGCGCCGCTGAATAACAGCCCACTCGTGTTCAAATGGGGCGAGCGATTTTAGCACCACCACCTCTCTCATTGAGCATCGCAAACTTTGCGCAATTAACTCGCCTCTGGAGAATTTTTTATGTGCTCACTCGGTGATTAAAAACGCCTTTGATGTTTTTGCATGGTTGGAAATTAATTACTTATTAATTTCAAACTGCATTATTTGCTTAATGTAAAATTCCATTGTATTTTTAACTAAAAGAAAGAAAAGCATAAAAATGAAAAAAATGAGTGATTGTTTTACATCTCGGCTATAAATTGGCGCATGAACGCCAAAATGGAAAATTCATTTTAAACATTTTGTGTTTTCAATGATTTTTTTTTTAAATATTTACAAATATTCTGGAAACTTGAATTTAGTTTAAATTTTAAACTGATTCAAACCTTGCAATAAATGAAAAATACCTCAATTTTTATTTCATCAATTAAGAGCCGCAATTTAAACTTGAAAGCCAGCTTTATTTTTAATTTATTTCCCAAAATTTGATATTAAGGGTTTATCAATGCAATGTTGATTAAAAGTTTGACGTCTTTTTTGCAACGGAAATTGATTTGGTGAAGTCAGTTTAAATTTGTTTCCTTTTTATAAATTTGCTACTTAAAAAATTATATATTTTCCATATTTTGCAACGCTCTAGATTACTTTGATTAACTTTCAGTTCTGCAAATAACGTTTCTCTGCTCTTTAAAATGACATGAAAGATCAATTTGATTTTATTCTAATCCAGTCGTAGCTTAAATTTGGATTGAATATTGCACCGGTCTGTTTATTTATTTAACGCTTGCGTCCGGTTTTCATTTTTTTCTATAAAACTTTTTACGTCCTCTCGCATGCGTTCATGACAATATTATCAACCGACAGAACGGTTTTTGAATAATTTTTAACCCCCCGACGGCAGAGGTTGCGCCGGAATAAATTAGCTCCGGCGTCAAATTGAAAGCGGCCACTTTTAACCAGGCCCGTTTTGTTTCGGTAATGCGCTTTTGAAACCGGGCATGATATGAAAACAATAAAGCGCTCGTCGCTGGACAGTTAAAACGAAAGTTGCGCCCGATTTACCCCCAGCATGTATATTCATTATTTTTATTATTTTTTTTATACTTGTGTGTCGCACGAGAGAGACCGTGCGTGTGTGCGGCGCCACTGCTATCGCACAAACGAAAATATTTAAGCACTTTTTTCATGCGAGGCAATAAAATTTGCCGATGTGTGCAAAACAAGGGCGAGTATCAATAATTGGTACCTGCAGCGATGCGTTGATGAGGCAGCCGATTTAATAATGCTCCGCTGATTTTATTTACATTTTTCGAAACAGCGTGCGCATGTGTTTTTCCGCGCGCCATCCGGCCGGGAAATTAATAAATGTTGCAGCTCAAAGAGTTTTGCGGTACGTCCAAAAA